AAAGAAAGAAAGAAAGAAAGAATAAAAGAAAAAGTGGCTCTCAGGACAGACGTGGCCCCCATGAGGGCTCATGGCTTTCCAGTTCCTGCATCCCCACCCTTGGCACAGCGCTTGCAGTAAGGAATGAGTGATTGGTCTCATGGGGCATTGTCAGGCCTCTCTCCACAGCCTTGACCTTCAGAGTTTCTGGGCAGAGACACCACACCACTGTCTCCAAGGAAAATTTTTTTAAAAAAACAAAAGAGGTAAGGTTTCAGAGCAGAGATTGATCAATCTTAAAACCCAGAAGCATCAGACAGTCAAGGCAACAAAACCAAAAAGAAAAAAAATGAATCTTTGGGCTAGAAGCCTGTTCCTCAGCACCAGAAAAAGAATTGCCTCTTCCAAGCCCCAGCTGACAAGGAAATGGAGTGAAAGAGCACCAGTCCACATCTGCCCTGAGCACCGCATAAATCCCCACGCAAGACTGTCGGGTATAAAGGTTAAGAATCATTTACTGCCGGAGAACAACAGCTCTCACACTTTGGGACATCAACTTCCCTCTGGAACAGCATGACGACAGGAATGTGGCCAGGTAGGTTTCCAACACGAGCACACCTCGAAGCTTTCCCATTAACCTCGGCAGGTCAAAGAACCATCCTCTGTCTCCCTGTCCCCCAGACCACACTTTGTGGTTATTAAAAAGAGCTGGGTCAGTGATATCCTCTGGGTATTTGTTTCTACCCAAAGCTCATGCTGAGTCGTAATCCTCAGTGCTGGAGGTGGGGCCTGGTGGGAGGTGATTGGATCATGGGGATGGATTTCTCATGAACGGTTTAGCGCCACCCCCTTGGTGCTGCCTTTGTGAAAATGAATGAGTTCTTGCAAGACCTGGTCATTTAAAAGTGTGTGGCACCTTGCCCCTCCTCTCTTGCTTTTGTTCCTACTAAGTGAGATGCCTGCTCCTCCTTCAGCTTCCACCGTGATTGGAAGCTTCCTGAGGCCTCCACAGAAGCTGATGTCAGAGCTAAGCTTCCTGTACAACCCGCAGAACCATGGGTCAATTAGACCTCTTTTCTTCACAAATTACTGAATCCTGAGTATTTCTTTAAAAACAATGCAAGAATAGTCTAACACAGTTAGCACTGTGTTGAAAGAGCTACCTGGCCACTTAAATGTCTCTTGCAGGAGCACAAGTCATTCCAAGGTTCTGGCACAGAGAGTGTATCAGTCAGTGTCAGGTAGGTTATGCTGCAGTAACAAACAACCCCCAAATCTCGGTGGCACAAAACAACAAAGACTTCTCTTTCTTGCTACACATTCAGCCAGGGTCAGCTGTGTCACACTCATTCCAGGGCCCAGACCGATACGGTGGCCAGCATTTCAAGCATTGCTGGGCACTGTGGCAGAGAAAAAGAAGCGAGCAACACAGACACTGACTCTTAAAGCATCTGCACCCAAAACATTCACTCCCACTCTACTGGCCAAACAAATCACATGGGCGAACCCCATTTCAAACTGAGTCGAAGTGCAGAGGAGACAGAGCCATTTATGAACAGCCCTGATGCCTGGGGGAGGGAAAATGATGAAAGAGGGAGAATACAGGGGAGGGAGCACAGAAAG